AAGATAATTTTGGAGGCAAAAACTTTCACAGAAAGAAGTCCTGAGGACAGGGTTACCTCCCCTGCCAATGCACCGCTGTTAGCAGGTACTTTCCACCTGATGAGCAAATACAAATGAACTACGGTTTCAAGACCAAGCTGTCAGCAGGTAACTGCCATCATACTCATTCTGATCAAAAATGGCAGATCGCAACCAGGCAGACAGTTGGCTGCAGACTGGGAAATGAAGCCCACAGTCCTGGTTTGGAACTATGCTTTGAACATTTTAGTATTTTAGAGGTTTCTAACTCTTCGTCTTCACTGTCTACATAGACACATAACCCTGGCAGGTGGTATTTGTCAAGCTCATGCTTGGCACACTTGGATGTTCCTGATGAACCAGGCCAACAGCACGGTGCCACAGGGTCCCAGGGACCAGCACACTGGAGGACAGGTTGAGGGCCTGATGCATCATTTGGGCAGGCCAAGCCTGGAGAGTTTGCAGAAAAATAAAGCTAAACAGGAGGGAGGAGGAACAGAACAGTCTGCTAGTCAGATTCTTCCCTTCACCTCCAGAAGGGACGACCGCTTTAGGTGTCCTATGGTGAAGTGAGGCATGTGGGACAGTTCATCATCATCACTCAAAAAATGAACTGTTTGAGACAGCAGGTGGAATAGTATAACGAACTGATGTGTTATCAGTTAGTAGTGGTTCCTGAAAATCTCTGCTAAACCTGGCTTCCCTTAGAAAAAGTCTACAACATGTATCTGTAGAGAAAACATGATTGAAAGCCAATATTTGCTTACATTAACAGAACAGTCTTAAAGAGAAGATTTCTTTTAAACACAAAAGACAAGGAGTAGCAAACTAATTAAAAACAGGTCAGCAACAGACTTGGGAACATCCTTGTGAGGACTGCAATGAAATGTAGTTCCGGAAGCTTGAACCATATAAGTAATGCATAAATTGGGAGTGCTGGGCTCTTCAGCCTTGCTTCTCTGAAAAGGAGAACCCGTGGAAATTAACCTGTTAGCGCATGGCGGCAGCACGTCACCTATCTCCTATAAAATCGAACCATGGTAGCTTATGACGAGGAAAGGGAGTTGAGGGAGGTGGAGGAAGGCATGGGGGTGGGAAAAGGGGGAGGCAGGGAAAGTTAAAAAAAAAATAAATATCTGCCTCAGCAAAAGTTTTCATTAAAATTTTAGACAAATGATCTCTGTGTCCTTCTCCCATGCTGCCTGGGGCTCCATGCTATTTCTATGCAAATAACAACCTCGTGGTTTATATCTTATTATTTCCACCGGAGCTGCGGCGACATGACCCGAGACGTGTGTGAGGTAGACAGCGAAAGAGAGAGAGGGAGAGAAAGAGAGGGAGAGGGAGGGAGAGAGATGGAGTGGCTGCTCGCTGAAGTGTGAAAAAATATTGTCAGGAGTGAGCAGCAAGAACAAAAAAAAAATTGCAGGGATAACGTGTTTATTTCAGCCCCTCTCCCCATGTGAACCAGCATCTTTTAAAATTCATTGGGCATCAGGCGATCATGCACAATCCATCTGCTTTCACTTTATCATTTGCATTTCATGCCTCCTGGCTTTTGATGTGCTGATACTTTGATGCAGTCAGGAGACGCGCATTATCATTATTTCAATTTTCAGGGGGGTCAGCGGGCTCAGCACAGGCGCGCGCACACACTCACAGGAGAGGAATGAAATGTCATTTCCACCTCTCCACCCCCTGCTGAAATGCAACGGTGAAGACAAAAGGGGTACAGATGAAATGCAGCCCCGGTGCCCCACATGCAGAGCCCTGGCCCCACCACAGAGCATCACACCTTTTCCCCAGGTCTTTCCCTTCCTTGTCGGTCCGGACTATAAACAAAGACAGCTTAATCAGGAGCAGAGGGAAACCTTGTACAGCTCTTCTGCAGTTTCTTGTCACCCCTGACAGGCAATGGGGCTGAGAGAATCCTTAAACCTGCCTGGTATCAGGTGTCTTACAGCGATATGCCTCTCTACTTACAAAGCAGTGACACGGACGCAGCGAACAGCCAGCATGTGATTAGTCAACCTCCAGAACCAAACATTAGCTTCAGCTAGAAACGATATTGACCTTGAGCTCATCATCTAAGTTATAGGTTACAGTCTGGTTTTGGCAGCTGGACCTTTCCCTCTACACCTAAACCCTCAGGCTGCTTTTACATAATGATAATGAACCAGACCAGCAACGGATCTGCTGGCACGTAATGTTTGTCACAGTCCCCCTCTGCTCCCCCTGTAAATTAAAAAGAATCCAGTATTTCACAGGAGAAAAAAAAAAAAATAATCAAACAACTTTTCAGAAAAAACGTCACTGCTCTCTGAAAGCCTAATTGTCTCCACTGCTGCAGAAACATTTTTGCACTGCATTCTCTTCTTGCCGAGAGAAGACATTTTGAAGAAGATGCGTATGCAGACACAAGACTACGTGTGAGCTTTGTACAGAATCCTCTATGAAGACAGTATTTAAAAGTCAGCAATGGAAAAAATTGTCCCAAATCTCTTGACACCTAACTGGGAAAAGCTAAAGGAATATTTGCATGCAACTGTGTTAGAAAACATTCCGTTCCAATTGTCACGCAAGGTAGAAGTTTCCACTCATTTTTTTTGCTTCAGTCATGATCTTTCCTCAAGACCCTGCCAGCTGGACTGATGACCTGCTAATTCCCACAAAGTAAAGCACTGACTTTGCTGCACAGGGCTCTTCCCCCCATCTACTCTAATGGAACAAGAAGCAGCAAGGCTGCCTTGCTCCACAAATCAAAACTACAATAGGTTTCCACCATGAGACCCTTATGGAGTCTTACTCATGCAAATGAACAGGAACACATCATATATTGTGCCCAAACAGCCTCTGCAGTCCTATAAGGAAAGACTTTGCTTAATTGACCCCTGGCTGATAGTGACCTGACTTCTAGCCAAAAGAAAATTCAAGTTGTCCATCTAAATTCAAGGGACAAGTGTTTAACAGTTTACTTATAAGAACAGGGAGACAGAGGGTAAGTCTGAAGTAGACACTGCCTCCATGGCAGGATGACACAAATGCCTTAGCCTTCACCATTTGCTTCACAGTCTCCTTAAGATCTCAACTGGACCAAGCTTGGCCATTTCAGGTTAGCACTGGACATCATTTCACTACCTCAGACATACTTCTGGGACACAATTATAGCTGGATCCGTTCAAGGAGCTCTGATCAGAACTGCAAGGACTGGAAAATGAAGATCATATGAACTAGCAAGCCACATCACACAACAGCCAGGAGTGAGTAGGGATTCCCAGTCTCCCACTATTCAAGGACAGGTAAACTTATTGTTGGGTCTGGACTTAGCTGTCTTACTGGGAAAGCTGGATAGGATGCAACATGTTCCTCCCTTGCATGACCTTTAGGGCAGGTAGAGGTTCAGTGCCTACATAAAAATACATGCCTTTCCAACAGAGCAGGAAGGAGAGAAAAGGACACACGGGATTATTCAGTCCACTGAAATTCCTGGGATGGGATAAGTCACCCCCAGAAAGCACCTCTTTCTGCATACGCCTGCTGATAGATATCAGGTCCTTAATTTTTAAGTGCCTAAAATGTAGTAGTTTAATCTAGTCCTGTAAAAACACTCACTCACTCCATGGGCAGAGAGTGCAGTTAAACCTGGAAAGAAGAGAGCAGAAGAGGAGGACTAAGCAGACTGGCCTTGCCATCTGGGAAACTCAGCAGGGCCCCGATCCCCACCAAATGACAGCTGGAACCAGGCAACTTACTCCACTTCAGCAAGCACTAAACTGACTCAATTTCTTTCTAAAGGATGGATCTTCAAATGCCTCTTTTCCTTCCATTGATGCAGGTGTGTGTGATGTGTGTAAGAGATCTAACTGAGGGTGCTGCATCCTAGAGTTGATAGGATCAATGCTTCATTTTCTGCAGAGCCCCCTCTATTCAGGGGAATAATTCAGCGAGAGACTATTTTCCTTTTATCTCCCATTGTCAGGCAGGCACTCCTTGAAACACAGCTTGCGATGAAGCACAACCACCCCAGGTGCTGGAGAGTGCCTGAGAACAAAGCTGCACAATGGGGAAGGGCACTCGTGCCCACACAATCCCAACTCCCACGTAAACAAAGCCCTCAGTGAGAGGGACAAGAGCAGAGTCGGCTGTGAGCCGTGTCTGCTACAGACAAGGAGCTGGAGGCTGTGATATTAATAGGCTTGGGGCAGCAACGGAAAAAAACCGCCTCTGGTGGGTCAAAAAAAAGAAGAGCCACTTTAGTAGTGAAAGCAGTAAGTTTTCGTACAGCCCGAGTTATTCCCCCCTGCGCCCACAGCTGAGATTTCCAGCAGGTCTGACTCCTCGAAAATCAGCATC